GTTCCACCCCCTCACCCCCATCACACACTCATCACAGAAAACCTCACAAAGCTTTCTCATTATAAATTGTATTGCTCCCTAAGTATTAATCAGACAATGTTTAAAAGGGAAGCTGCTGAGAGCAGATTTTTTCCCTATTTCCTATTTAAACAGGACAATTTATGGTTTTCATATGTTGCCCATCTGATTTTCTATTTATTAAAATTAAAAACTACCACATAACCTATAATACAGACTTTTTCCATTAGTAAATTTTATGTATTTGGTTATGAAGAAAAGCATCTAGACTTCAAGGTAAAATCATCTAAAAACAAAGGTTATCAGAAACCCTCTATCAGCATATCTAGGTACAAACATCAAATCAAATCTCCATCAACTGTGAAAAATATGAACACTGATATTTTTCCCCATGTACACTGTGTAAACTACAGGACATAAATATATGAGAACATACTTTCATCCTGACATCATTTTAAAAAACCTTTAAAATATAAGCATTTTTAAATTTACTGTAAGCATCTGTCCTTGAGTGACCTGTACTCAGGAAGTTGTTAGAAGGATATTCAGGCAATCCTAACAATATTTTTACAGCTCATTTGCTCAAACTTTTATACATCATCTTTAGCTTTATGAGGATTCCTAAAGGAAAGTCCATATAAGAAAAGTTTATCTTCTATAAAAATTAAACCTTTTTCTTTCATGGCTTGGTGTCTCATGGAAGGCAGGCAAACTTTTAACTATACTTTCTGAATGCCTATTATGGGCTGAGATGTGGGTTAAGTAGTGTACATTTAGCATTTTTATTTCTTATAAGGATGTTAAGAGTGTCCCAGGGCTGCTGTAGTGTTATAGCTGGTGGGAATGCCTCCTGCAATGCTGGTATCCCATATAGGTACCAGTTTGGGTACCAGCTGTTCCACTTCCAATCCAGCTCCCTGCTAATGTGCCTGGGAAAGCAGTGGAGGATAGCCCAAGGGATTGGGCCCCTGTACCCACAAGGTAGACTTGGAAGAGGCTCCTGGCTCTTGGCTTCAGCCTGTCCCAGCTTTGGCTGTTGTAGCCTTTTGGGAGAGTGAACCAACATATGTGGAAGACCTCTTTCTCTCGATCTCCGCTCCCCTTCTCTGTAACTCTGCCTTTCAAATAAAAATTTTTAAAGATAAATCTTTAAAAAAAAAAAAAAAGAGCACAAACCAGACCACACTCAGGAGACAGGCAACCAGGGATGTACCAGCAAGGGTTGCTGCGAACTACACTTGAGAGACTTGAGAAGCAGGGCTGAACAGAGGAGGAAGCTGAAGACACAGCTGCAACAGAGGTCTCTGCTAACTCTAAAGGGAATATAGAACTTCAATCAAGTTCCTGAAATTGAGGCAAGGAGCCGAGACCTTTGTATTTCGGCACTGACTGGGCATTGAATTCAGGCTGCCACCAGAGGGAGTCTCACTTTGGATAAGACAGCTCCCTTGAGCAAAGGCAAACTCCTAGGAGGAATTTAAGAATCCTACCCAAGTCATGAGCAGTGAGCACTACAGGCAGCTGAGAGGAGGAGGGATCCAGGAAGTGCCTCACATATATATGGAAAGATATCTATATGGTGCATCTGTTTTGTAGACTAGAAGACCGCTAGGGAAAAGAACTTAGATCTAAGGTCATTACTACATTGTCTTATCTTACACCCCAAAACGAGAACCCATGAGCCCACATTGTTGCATGGAGGATTAAGCTGGCTACTCTGCTTCTGATTTAGTTTCCTGCTAAAACACCTGGGAGGCAGTGGATGATGGTTCATGTACATGGGTTTCCGGCCACCAATTTTAGGAGACCCAGATGGAGTCTCTGGCTCCTGTCTTCTGCCTGGCCCAGTGACCCAGACCCTATGTCATGGTCATCCAGGGGAGTGAATCACATATGGACGATCTCTCTCTTATTCTACCTTTCAAATAACCAAAACAATAAACCTAGGATCTGTATGATTCTCTTCAGGAGAAAACACCAAAAATTACAGAAAATCACCCTATTTAACTTTACACCATACTTACAGGGAGCTCATAGCTCATTTTAATTTTTATCTTACATAACCATATTTACCTGAGTTACTGTTATACTCTCTGCATTCCCTGATTTGTTGTTTTCTGATTTGTTTTCTCAGTGTGCAGATATTCTGGCACATTTTTATTATACACTACAAAACAGTTTATCTCTTTCCCATCAACTACCCTGAAGATGATGAGTACTCAAATCATTTGTACATTAGGTAAACAACAGCATGAATAAATGCTGGACATTCCATGACTTTCTTTGGTAACCCTCATCCTTACCTGCTTTTACTGTGACAAAGTATGAAGGATCTTCAAAGAGTTCATGGAAAATGTACACTATGCGAAAACTAGGCAAGGATTTCAATATTTTTTACTAAGATAAACTTATCTTTCAACCCCATTTCCCATAAATGGTCTGACATACCCTATTAATTCTATTTTGTAAATGTACCTCCTGCTGTAACTCAAACTTACTTCCATTAAGAGGAGTTGGTAGTCCAAAAGATACCATCATTTATACAGACTTGAATGAACGACTGAATGAGTCTTCTACAATAACGGCATGGCTTTTGTTTCAACACTTGTTTTAAATTCTTCCTTATGACTTCCAAGTCACCATTTCTCCTTGGGTTTATGATCTTAGAAAATGAATTCTCTGCAAGAATTTAAAAAGTATGCGTTTCATTTCTACAAGAAATACGTATTATCATAATGATGCCCATCTGGGTGTTACTAAATAATTTATGTATTGCATTTATTCCTGTTCATGATTACGCTGTTGCCAGAAATACTACTTCAATTGCTGAAAGTTAATAAAAAGGAGGGGAGTGTTTGGCATAGCAAATGCCTGCATCCCATATTGGAGTGCCAGGTTTGAGGCCTGGCTTTACATGCTCTTGGTTCTATCTTCTTGCTAACATGCATCCTGGAAAGCAGTAAGTGATGGCTCAAGTACCTGGGTCCCTGTCACATGCAACATGGGTGACCAGGAATGAGTTTCTAGCTCCTAGCTTTAGCCTGACCTACTTCTGGCTTTTGCCAACATTTGGGGAGTGAACTGGCAGATGGGAGATCTCTCAATCTCTCTCTCTCTGCCTCTGAAATAAATAAGTAAATAAAAATTTAGAAACATTAATAAAGGTGGGCTGATGATTCATAAGGAGGCAACTGGTTAAGAGCATGGGTTCTGGAGACTGTTTAGTGTCATTAATTTCTCCATCCATTTGGTGGCTCTAATAACAGTACTTTCATCATAGTATTAAATGAGAAAACAAAAGTAGAACATTTAAAAGTGTCTGCCTAATTGCTTGCACTCATTAAATTTTAGAGAGAAAAGTAGTAAAAGCAAAGGGACATGGTAGGAATAACATATTCAAAAGAACCTTACAGTAGCAAAACGTTATCAGTCGTGTTAAGAAAAGCAGGAACCGGTGCTGTGGTGTAGTGGGCAAAGCTGCCATCTGTAGTGCTGGCATCCCGTATAGGCACTGCTTTGAATACCAGAAGCTCCACTGCTGATCCAGCTCTCTGCTGTGGCCTGGGAAAGCAGTAGAAGATGGCCCACGTGCTTGGTCCCCTGCACCCACATGGGAGACCTAGAAGACGTTCCTGGCTCCTGGCTTTGGATCAGCCCAGCTCCAGCCGCTGCAGCCATTTGGGGAGTGAACCAGAGGATGGAAGACATCTCTCTCTCTCTCTCTGCCTATATGTAACTCTGACTTTCAAATAAATAAATAAATCTTAAAAAAAAAAAAGGAATGCTAACTTGATTTTTATTTAATTAGTACTTAGATTTACAAATCTGTTTTAAATTGTTTTTATTGATAACTTAAGGGCTTTTTAAATAAAAGGAGTATATTTACCCCTAGTTATAGGTTTATACTGAATAACACTGGTCTATAAATGTGCTTTTGTTCACATAATTTCAAGTTGCAGAAACATCTGGTTCTATCATAGCTCAATTCTTGCTCAGTTTTTCTTTCATATATAAAAGTCAGTAATTCTTGGCATGAATATGGGACTAAACACACTAAAAAACCAAAAGGAGAAAAAGGATCCCAACAACCCATCAAGAGTAAGAACTGGCCTTACTCACCGGGCAACCAGTTTACAAGAAGCAGAAGGCAGGTAAAACTCAGCATGGAAAGAAATGAGGAGCATAAATGACCTACATATTTTCCTGGGAGTTTGAGAGAACAAAAAAATATAAATATGTCTCATTCCTTTTTTGGCATTATGGAAATGTACTGGAATTGATATCAGATTTACAAGTAGCACTTCTCCCCGCCCCCCCATTTAAAGGTTTATTTATTTATATGAAAGGGGGAGTTACAGAGGGAGAGGCAGAGAGGTCTTCCATCCGCTGGATCACTCCCCAAATGGCCACAATAGCCGGAGCTGGGCCAATCCAAAGCTAGGAGCCTGGAGTTTCTTCCAGGTCTTCCATGTGGATTCAGGGGCCCAAGCACTTGCGCCATCTTCTACTGCTTTCCCAGGCCACAGAAGAGAGCTGAATCAGAAGTGAAACAGCCAGGACTTGAACTGGTGCCCATATGGGATGCTGGCACTGCAGACGGTGGCTTTACCAGCTATGTGTCACAGTGTCGGCCCCACAAGTACCACTTCTTGAATAACAACAAAACATTTCATGGATATGTGCTTATGCTACAAAAAATTAAGCTTTTTCCCCAGTTTTATCCTGTGGTCATTATTAGTTATACAAAGAAAAAAGTATTACTATATACTGCTTTAGAACTGGCACAGCTCTGATCTCCAAAAGTCAAACTGTTAGGGCCAGCACCATGGCGCAGTAGGTTAATCCTCCACCTGCAGTGCTGGCATCCCATATGGGCACACTGGTTCATGTCCCGCTGCTCCTCTTCCAATCCAGCTCTCTGCTGTGGCCTGGGAAAGCAGTAGAAGATGGCCCCCAAGTGCTTGGGCCCCTGCACCTGCATGGGAGACCAGGAAGAAGCAGTTGGCTCCTTGCTTCAGACAGGCACAGCTGCAGCCGTTGCAGCCATTTGGGGAGTGAACCGTCAGAAGGAAGACCTTTCTCTCTTTCTCTCCCTCTGTCTGTAACTCTACCTCTCAAATAAATAAAATCTTAAAAAAAAAAAAAAAAGTACAACTGTTAACTGCATTTCCTAATCACAGATGAGAGAAGGGACATTACCTGGTTTTGCTCATGACCATACCTTTGAGACCCTGCATGGAGCCTAGGTCAAGAGCAGGTGCTCATTAATTAGTCATTGAATGCATAATTACTGGGTAGCATTTCAAAGCTCCATGGTGCAAGCCTCAATGACAGTTGGATATACACAATGCAAAGAATAATATAAAATCATGCAAATCATTCTCAATAAAGGCAAACAACTTTTTATTTCTTATGTAAAATGAAAGAGAGCTCAAATTTTTAAGGCCAATAAGGCCCACATTTGAGGTTTTTTCCCGTGTTAATTGTTCTGAATTAGCCATACATATTTTAAATATCATTTTTGTTTACCAGAATGTAAGATCTTTGAAAGCAGAGGTCTTGGGTCAGTTTTGTTCACTAATATATTCCCAGCACCTAAATCGATGTCTGGCTTGTAAAAACGGCTCTAAATATTTTGCTTGAATGAATGAGAATTGTTTAAGACTGTATATAAGAAACAGAGACACCAAAAGCTGAGGTGCTTTTGACCTGTCATATTCTTCCTTCTAAATTCTAAGCCAGTTATTTCCATTTAGAGCAAAATACCTGCAACTGAAAAAATAAAAGTAGTTCTTGGTAGATACGAACTTTTCTTCTTGTTTTATTCACATCAGTTACAAACATAATTGACTTATTTGGATAAATGAAGTAATCTGCCAATATAGCACAAAAGCAGAATTGTAGCTTTCAAAAATTTAGGCTATTACAGAAAGTAGTCTTACACAGACTGAGAAAATGCAACTAGAAAACATCTAAGTAAGCAGCTTCCATTGTATTGCATCAATTATACTTAATATTTGGTAACTCAAAATGTGTAATTTATGAATACACAGCCAAGCACACGCATGTAAAAATAAAAGGATGGCCGCTGTTCAGAAATGTCTGAGAATAAACACAGGTTTGCATTTTACTAAAGGTAACAGCACATCCTACCAAGTGAACAGACAGCACTGGTCTGCTTAGTGCCAAGAAAAAAAAGTATTTGCATGAGCTTTCAAGGGCTCTCTCTACAAATGAGAACTTTCTCTAAAAGTAAATAATAGGCAGAACATAGTGCATAAAACTCACAACAGAAATAAAAGTAAAAAGCAATCTAATCATCTTATAATCCTGACAACAAAAATCCAAAGCTTTTTATGGCATTGTTTCTGTCGTTTTGGAATCTCAAAAATGTCCCTCCTTTTATTCCACTGTTTAAAAATGACACAGATACAATTTTCCACAGGGGGACAAACTGCACCCTACCTCACCCTACCAACAGAAGCAGTCTTCAGGGTGTCCCTATAGAAATTAACATTGGAAATCTTATATCTGAATTTTAGTTCTGACTCTTGAGTAATGTTAAGAGGCAGGAGAAAAGGGAGCAGGATAATCACTTGTGGGGAGAACAGAATCCAAGTGTCTGAAGAGTTTATTCTAGGCCGGCGCCGCGGCTCAATAGGCTAATTCCCCACCTAGCGGTGCCGGCACACCGGGTTCTAGTCCCGGTCGGGGCGCCGGATTCTGTCCCGGTTGCCCCTCTTCCAGGCCAGCTCTCTGCTATGGCCTGGGTGTGCAGTGGAGGATGGCCCAAGCGCTTGGGCACTGCACCCCATGGGAGACCAGGAGAAGCACCTGGTTCCTGCCTTCGGATCAGTGCGGTGCACCAGCCGCGGTGGCCATTGGAGGGTGAACCAACGGCAGAAGGAAGACCTTTCTCTCTGTCTCTCTCTCTCTCACTGTCCACTCTGCCTGTCCAAAAAAAAAAAAAAAAAGAGTTTATTCTAAAGGCAATATACAGGACTGTCCTAACATGGTTTTAGTCGAATTTCCTGGGGTTCTTAGAAATCAAGCCTAAAAATGGAAGCTATCAAGTACTGTGATGGTCTTTGATGACTACAGCAAGAATTCTTCATGTAAGCTGGTAGAGAAATTAGTAGTGAGTTGTGTCACAGGTTAATACCTAACAAATCCTGTTTATTGTAATGCCCAGATTCTCCATTCATACCGATTTTGATATGCCTGAAATCTGTACTCTTCCATCTTCATTGCCAATTGCTTTATTCCACTTCTCATCTAGTTTACTGCAAGTCTCTAAAGGATCTTTGTGCTTCTAGTCTTAGTCCTTCCATTCTCCGCATTACAAACCAGTAACCATCCTAAATTTAACACTAACCATGTCACTATTTGGGGGCTTAAAATCCTTTGAATAGGGGTCAGTGTTTCCATGGAGCAGGTTAAGCCACTGCCTGCGATGCCAGCATCCCATATGGGTGCCAGTTCGAGTCCCAGCTGCTCCACTTCCTATCCAGCTCCCTGCTAATGCTCCTGGGAAAGAGTGGAAGATGGCCCAAGTACCTGGGCCCCTGCACCCACATGGAGACCCAAAAGAAGCTCCTGACTCCTGGCCTCAGCCTGGCCCAACCCTGACTATTGCAGCCATCTGGGGAGTGAAGCAGATGGAAGATGTCACTCTCTGTAACTCTGCCTTTCGAGTAAATAAGTAAATATTTTTTTAAAAGCCCTTTGAATAGTGAGAAGGATTCTAGCCCCTTCTCTCACCCACAGAAGGAAAGAAAAAAAACACATGATATAACTCTCTGGGAGCCCTGAGGGAAGAGGAGACTGGACATGGGGGAAACATACATAATGTAATCGTCAGATGTTGTTGAGCTGCCTGGACAAACCTGAGAACTATGAACATTGCTGTGAAAAACAGGCTACTCCGATGTCAGTTGCCTGATCGGTGCATGTGGCATGCCTCCTTACCATATATTTTCAATTCCCTGATCAGTTCACTTAACATGTCTCATTAGCACATACTTTCAGTGCCCTTTGATCAGCTGATTGTCCTAGCCTTCTGATTGGTTGTCACTTTACTCCTCTGGGTTGATTAAATTTGGATTTGCCTTTTCAGGAAGGAGCCAATCACTGACAATGGCTCCCTTTCAGTATAAAAAAGCCAGCACTTTCAAGTTTCTTTGGCAATTCCTCCCTTGGAGTACTCCTCCTGAATGCTGTGGCAAGCTGTGGCAGGAGGTTCTCATTTTCAATAAATCCAGTTTTGTTTACTGTCCCTGTCTGCACAGAAATTCTTCTTTAGCATGAGACAAGAACAGAGATCGTCACATCATCCCACAACAATAAGATAAAGTCCAATCACATCGCCTGACCATACCCCATCAAATGACCACTTGTTCATGTCTCCACTTTGATTGCTTTTTTTTTCTTTAAGATTTATTTATTTGAAAGGCAGAGTTACAGAGGGAAGGAGGGGTGGATAGACTGATCTTCCATCCACTGGTTTACTCCTCAAGTGGCTGGCAATAGCCTGGGCAGGACCAGGTCAAGGCCAGAAGAAAGGAGTTTCATCTGGGTCTTCCATGTGGATGTCAGTACCCAAGACTTGAGCCATCTTCTGCTGCCTCCCCAGGCACATTAGCAGGAAGCTGGATCAGAAATGGAGCAGCTGGGACTTGAACTGGCACCTATACGGGCTATCAGCATCGTAGCAGCTTAACCCGTTGTGCCTAACACTGACTCCCAGTCTCATTTCTTAGTACTTATCCACCTCCTTTCATGTTTAAGCCTTAGGTTACAGCCATCCAGAACTACGTGGTGGAAAGCATTTACCCAGAATATCTGGGACACCAGCTGTTGGAAACTAATGATGTTTCTGGAGTTTTGATTTCAAGTCTCAAAGAGCACAATGATGTAAAAATTTTTCTCTCTCCTCAGTAAGCTCTAGACCTCTTTTATCTAACTGTACTTTATGGGTTGAGAAATCAAAAGTGGCTGTGACTACCTTTCCAAACACCTCAAGTGGGAGATGAAGAGACAGTGCAAAGACAACAAGAACCGTTCTGGTGAAAAGGACCCAGGGGCAGCAAGAGCGCAGATGAGGATACAGGGGTGAATGGGAGCTGGCACAGCTTAGGACAGGTGCAGGTTAGAGGCAGTGAAGGCTCAGTTTGGGGGAAGGAAACTGCCTGTTCCTGGGGCACTGTGCATTGTGTAATCATAAGGGGAAGTGTCATGCACCCACCAGGTCTTGGCCTTCACCAATGGGGTCCTGTAAGGCTACCCTGGAGCGTCCCTAGTCTATTCCATGACCTTCCAGAGTGTCACTGAGGGGACAGGGCCTCCAGGAGGGCTCTGGTTCCTACCATTGTTCCAAGAATGTACAAGACAGTCAAGGCACAAACAGCAAAACTTTAGAACTCAATGTATTGGGTGGGTAAGAAGTACATACTTTCCCACCTGACTCTACCCCACAGGGGTTCAGGCACGCCTCTTCCCAAAGGCTGAGTATAAGGGTGGGGGAAGGTGAATGGGTGACAGAAGGGTATGTAGGAAGGGCCAGGATATGTAGATCCCACATGTGTGAGTTTTATTTGGTCTGTCCCATCCTGCCACTTCCTCAGTACGCCGCACATGGGGAACACCATGACCCTGAGTTGCCAGTCCCCAAGGAATAAGCCCGAAGATCAACACCAGTGGGACCGACTGTCCCAACCTACTAGATTTTCTCTGTAGCAGTGTTAGGTGAAGGACCTGGAAACACTTGAGACTGCGGCCAGGGAGGGGGAGAGGTCAGAGGTGCCAAAGGGATGGGGTACTGAAAAAGTACATGAAGAGGAGAGGAGGATGCATGGACCTACCAGGTACAGGCACTGCATTAGGTGCTTTCACATGCATGCACTGTCATGCGAGAGACTCTGGGCTAGACTGCATTCAAACAGAACACACAAGAAGGCATTGCATGGAGTTACATATAGTGCCTTTATGTGGATTAAACAAACACTTGTAAAGCACTCAAAAACAGCACATGGCACATAGTAAAAGCTACCTTAACTATAGTCATGATATTTTTTTGTGAAATTTGTTTCAGCTGTACACATATGTCATTTCATGTGAGTACTAGGCCCCAGGGTAAAATGTTTCTCCTTGTGGGTTGTAGTTTAAAAAAGAAGTTTAAAAAACATTGCTTTGGTTTTTCTTTTCAGTATACAAATCAAGGAAAGAAAAATATAATGGGTAGCTATATAACTTTAAATTAATCCCATAAAAGGTATTACTCATCAAAACACATAAATTACCTGGCACTGGGATTTCCCCTATAATCCCATTCTAAAACTATCAGCTCTATCCTTTTATATGTTTTTTTTTTTTCCCCCACCACCATCCAACCCATCAGCCATAGCTCCTAAATCAAACTTTTACCACATGCAAGGCATGTCGGCAAACTGTTCTTTGATTTGAGGTCATAACTTTTAAACAGAGGTCACTTAAAAGTTTTTGTGACAATTTCATTGTTTACATGCTTCCAGTTTGGGATGCTTGGACAAATACATCTTATAGTATTTGCACTTTGCACTATTCTAGGTTATGCTGTCTCTGAGCTTTCACACCAGCTACTCACCTGCTCTACTCCCTTCTACCCAATTAAGTCCCATGTCACCTTTGGAGTCCCCTCCCTGAGGCCTAGGATGATGTATGCTCTTGCAGCTACACGAGCTTTAACATTAACATGACAGACAAAATCTGGTTCAAAATATTACACTGCTATATTTCCAGAAGTCTACCAGTAGGTATTCAAATATTTGCTGGTGAATAATGAAAAAATTAAGTCCTATTTCAGATGTTAGTATTTAAGAAAATCCTGTATGAATCTGTCAGCTGAGTCAGATGAAAGGGAACAGGCAAGATACCCAAATCTACACACATACACACATGCCTTGCCATGCCACACCTGGACTTCAGCCAGGTTAAGTGCTACACCTTTCCTATATAGCCCTCTTTTTTCCCTTTGGACTTTCTAAGGAGAGTGGAATTCAAAGGCCCAGTTCATCTATATTAGTCAAGAAAGATCAAAGAGATGCTGGAGTTTTAAAGTAATAGATTTTATCTGGGATAGCCATATGCCTTGTTTAATGACTGATCAAGGCACCTTAAAACTTTAGTGATTCCCATCATTCCTACTCTAATATTTTTTTTAGGTGTGAAGCTTTGCTCCAAATTTAGGTTAATGACCCTATTTCTTTTAAATGTAATTGGAATGTTTCCAAGTCACCAACAGTTTCAAGACACATTTCATAAAACCCACAGGTAAGAATTTTATATGGATTTTTCAGATTCAGACTACATGATTCAATACATCTTATAGTCAATCTTCATTTTATTTATATAACACTAAGTTTAATATTTTTATATCTTAACTTACTGTAATCTTTCAAACACATGGTAAAATTTTTTAAAATTAGCTTAAATTTTATGTTTGAGAGGGTACATGGATTTCCAAAAAAGTTTGGACATGATTATTCCAAAGTTGTTTTGGCCACACAATAGTCATTAGTCACATGTGGTTATTTGAACTCACATTAATTAAAATGACAAGGGGTTGGGGGCAGGCGTTTGACAGCAATTAAGATACTACTAGGGATGCCCACATCCCTTACCTGAGTGCCTGGGTTTGAGTCCAGCTTCTGCTGATGCACACTCCAGGAGGCAGCAGGTAATGTCGCAAGTACTTGGGTCCCTGCCACTCACACAGAAGAGCTTGACTGGGTTCCCAGCTACAGGATTTACCCTGGCCCAACCCCAGCTGTTTCTGGCATTTGGAGAGTGAACCAGAAAATGGAAAATCTCTTTGTCTCTTCCTGTCTCTCTGCCTTTCTAATAAATAAGTAATTTTCAATGAAATTTTCAGTTTTGCAGTCACTCTAGCCACATTCCAAATGCTCAATAATCATCTGTGACTAGTGGCTACCATATTGGACAGTACACTTCTCAAATCACAGAAAGTTCTATTGGACGTCACTGTCCTAGAGAACCGAGAATCGGCACTATTTGCCCCCAGCCAACTGCAGTTATAAAGTGTGTGTTCATTCCTTGCACTAAACGCTGCACCTCATAGAATGGTAAAACATTTTCCTTCACTTTTACCTTGATTGCTCCAAAGAGGGTAACATGGTAAGAACAAGAGGAAGGGGGCCAGCACTGTGGCTCACTTGGCTAATCCTCCACCTGCGTTGCTGGCATCCCATATGGGCGCCAGGTTCTAGTCCTAGTCGCTCCTCTTCCAGTCCGGCTCTCTGCTGTGGCCTGGGAGGGCAGTGGAGGATGGCCCAAGTGCTTGGGCTCCTGCACTCGCATGGGAGACCAGGAGGAAGCACCTGGCTCCTGGCTTTGGGCCAGCGCAGCGCCAGCCATAGCGGCCATTTGGGGAGTGAACCAACAGAAGGAAGACCTTTCTCTCGGTCTCTCGCTCTCTGTCAAATAAAAAAAAGAAGAAGAAGAAGAAGAAGAAAGAACAAGAGGAAGAAGCTTTGAGCTCCCCCTTTGGGTTTGAGTATACGATCACAAGTATTCTTTCAAAGACTACTTCAATTTTGTAAACAACTTTTTACCCTACATAGTTCAATGTGGTAGCCACTAGCCACAAATGACCATTTATAATTTAAATTTAAATTGCTTGGAATTTAAAAAATGGATAACTCAATTCCTCAGGCACATTAGCTACAATTCAAGGGCTGAAGAGTCCTATGCACTTAGTAGTGGCTATTCTATTGAATGGCAGCAGATACAGAACATTTCCATTGTCACAAAAAGTTTTACTGAAGAGTGTTATTTGCACTACATGCTTTTCTAAATTCTTTCTTCCTTTTATACATCCTATTAATGAAGCTTCCAGAATATGTATCTCTACTCTTTGCTAGATTTCCCAAATTGCCAGGAAATAAACTCAGAATCCTATTCATCCAGCTTTAAGATTTGCTTGTTAGAGCTCCTACTTCCAAAACAGAAAACCAACATATAAGTATATGGTCTTGGGTGTGCACTGTGGTAAGCCATAGCTTGGGACACCCACATCCTTATCACAGTGTGTGGTCTGAGTCCCAACTGCTTCACTTCCCATCCAGCTTCCTGCTAATGAGCATCTGGGAGGCAGCAGACGACAGCTCAAGTACTTGGGTCCCTGTCGCCCACTTCAGCCTGGCCCAGTCTTGGATGTTGTGGGAATCTGGAGAGTGAACCTGTGGATATAAGATCTCTGTCGGTCTCTCTCTGCCTTTTAAATAAATAAAAATAAACAAACATTAAAAAGTAAGCGTAGGGTTGGTAGTCAAAGATGGTCTATTCCTTAATGATATATACCAAATCTCTGACAAAATTACAAACATAAAAGGAAACTAGACAAGCTTCCAGGTCTACCCAAGTGGGATAAGAACTGTAGCTGAATATATAAAAATGGTATGAAACCTGGGCAGGCTTTGTGACAGAGGGTCAAGCCACCCCTTGGGAGGCCCACATCCCGTATCAATACACCAGTTCAAATCCTGGCTACTCTGTGCCTCCAATCCAGCTTCCTGCTAATATGCTGGCAAGGCAGCGCATGATAGCCCAACTGCTTGGGTTTCTGCTACCCACATGGAAGACTCAGGTGGATTCCTGGCTCCTGCCTTTAGCCTGGCCCAGACCTGGTTGTTTTGGGCATTTAGAGAATGCATCAGCAGACAGAAGATCGATCTCTCTCTCTGCCTTTGAAATAAATTAATTGTCTTTTAAAAATATATGGAACAGATCTGTCTAAATCTTTCTTATGAACTTCTGAGTGGAAAACCATATTTTTTGGGAATATTTCTGTGATAATACAGAAGGAAAGCCTTGTCTGTAATCACCAAAGAAAAGCCTCAGAAATGGGCAGTTTATTAAAATGCTTACACAGAGATAAAAGTATCTTTTGCTCCAAGTTAGCTCTACCCTTTAAGCTCTCAAAAAGAAAAGGCAAGACTTGATAGCTAAAAACCAAAGACCAACTATTACCACATTGTGATTTTTGTGTGCTAAAGTATAAAATTTCTTTCCAAAGATGATGACAATTACTGGTGAATAAATCTAAGCAATATCCCTAGCAAATTGATCAGTTTATGTACTAGGCAGAAGGCTTACAACTTCCAATCTGCCCAATGAACAACCAACACCAATCCAGCAAAAGCAAGTTTTTTAGGTCACATACAATCACCCTGCATTTCATCTTGAGACAGAACTAGAAGTACACATCTGCTTCGAAGATATAAAGCCAACTCTCAAGAGGCAGTTTTTGGAGAACACCCAAAAATATGGGACTTGAGAATGAGTGTTTCAGTGCATCAGATTAACTGACTGAAGTGTGAATGCAGCATCTGGCTCAGAGGAATGCTTTCATGAATGCCAAGTCTAAGACAGATCCTTCAACTACCACAGCACGGATGCTGATGAGCTCACACCCCCTCCTTTGATGTCATCACACTTATAGTCTACTTCAGTCATATGACACTTAATCAAGGACTGTCTTACATAGATTTTTAGCCCTTTGGTGTGTACATCTAAAGCTTCGGCTGCACTGTGAACTCTTGAACAATGGCAATTATATATCAGTTCTTTTATTCATCTTAGCACATAGCAGACAAACCCTGTACATATTTTAGCACTCAGGTATTTGGTGAAGATACAAGAGTCTTCAAAAAGTTCACAGAAAATGTGCATGATCTAATTCCGGTTTTCCATGAACTTTCAGAAGTACCTCATAAGAAGAAAAGGCAAAAATCACACAGTGATAAAAAAAAAATCACCTAGATCTGCATATCTGACTTCCAAAACTGGGCTTGAATTTGTCAGCAAATTTTCTTCTGGCAAACAAACAAAAAAGCAACAAAATTTCAGAATAAACAACAATGTGTATAGCAAGGCAGTCTCAAATGCATCCATTTTATCCAAATGATAGAACAAATATCAATCATAAGACAGACATAAAATGAAACTTTGCAGCAATCCCCAATGTTTAAATCTCGTTTTAAATTTAAATCTTAAGGAGCTAGAAATACAATTCAATTGGATAGCATTAAGAAGACTTCAATATCAAAATCTGAGAGCTACTAATTCAATGTCAACATTTACAATTCAATACTATATAGATAAGAGAACTGAGGCAAAGTTTAGAGAAGGTGAGCGCTGAGCTGTGAGGTTATTTGGGAAGATGGTCATCTCATGCCTTCATATAATGAGATGAAGGCTGTGACATCAACATGTTGAAACTATCTAATTACAGGAAGGTTTGCATGTAAAAACTACTCATTCTATACCTCCTCCTTTCAAACTTAGACAAAGATATTTACTGGGGCCAGCATATTGCATAGCAGGTAAAGCCACCCCCTGCAGGGCCGGCATCCCATATGAGCACTGATTCAAGTCCTGGCTGCTCCATTTCCGATCCAGCTCTCTGCTACGGCCTGGGAAAGCAGTGGAAGATGGCCTAAGTGCTTGGGCCCCTGCACTTGTGTGGGAAACTCAGAAGTTCCTGGCTCCTGGCTTTGGATCAGCCCAGCTCTGACCACTGCAGCCATTTGGGGAGTGAACCAGCGGATGGAAGGTCTCTGCCTCTACCTCTCAAATAAATAAATAAGTTTTTTTTTTTTTAAAAAGATATTTACTGAGTTTTCCTAGCTGATTTTTTAACAGACATTTCAAATATATCAGAGCAGAAATGAATTGACTTACAGGTACTCCCTCCCTGTGAGTCTCTGCCATTGAGTTCACATTTAAGTGAGCTGTGAGCATTAATCTGTACTAGAGGTTTCTCATTTTCTACATTGTACTAAACTGCTGGGTTGCTATTATTGCTACCTACAGTGAAAGAATGTCTTTCTGCAGTTTTTATCAACACAATAAAGTGAAAGAGATTTCTGAATTACTTGTTCTAAATGGAAATTTCTGAAACTGGGAACTGAGACTTTGTTTTCAGAGATTTGAGATTGTCTGAAAATTTAAGGCTGTATGTTTATTTTTATAAGCATAATCTGGGTTACTTGGGCATCCACCTCATAATCTTGTAAGGCTATGATTTCAGTGACCACACTTGCTTCTGTACTTAGGATCACCTCCACACTAACTCTCCCGAAGGGATATGGCTTCATTTCTAAAGCAGTATTTTTCAAACTGGGATCGAAAGTCAACATTTTTGAGTTAAAATTTGAATAACCCTGCTAACGCTTTTTATCCTTTCTAAAATTCCCTTTCTAGACTTATTTGCTGAGTTTAACAAATATGTATTCAATGTTCATTACATACTAGTATACCAGTGAATAAGAGAGATCAGAACCTATAATTAAAGAGCTTATAATTCTGGTAGGAAAAGACCAACATTGTTCATGAAGGAGTCAGGGTTCCTTGATTGAGATCACTAATGTGTACAGCACGTTAAAACCAAAACAGTTATTTGCCCTCCTTCTCAACTGCCACTGTGATCAGAACCCATTATCAACTGCATATTCTCCAAATATTTTAAGAGCTTGAGGTCAGCTTGGTCTTACCTGTCTGGGGACAGGTAAACAGATCCTCTCTTTTTAAGAAGCTCAATCTCCTTTCCTTGCTTTAGGTTTCCTCCTCAAAAGTGGAAAATGAAGCAATCCAACTAGATATTCCCTGATCATTTGAGAAACAATTTGATGGAAAAATTTTATTTAGTGAGCTTTGACAGCACAACACTTTTCCCCTCTGGGAAATTTCTATGGACAAAATCAACCAAGTTGTAAGTTAGAAATGCCTAAGGTGCACTCAAGGAAAGTTCATGGATAGATGCTAACCAGTACTGTGCAAAAATGCCCAAAAATTTAACCTTAATGACCCTGAGTGCAGCAACTAATGAGATTCAGAGAACAGTAGCTTCTTCCTATTAGCTATTACTTTAAAGGGCATTCTTGTTTAAAAAAAGGGAGGAGGGCGAAAAGGGAGAGGAAAAGCCTAAGAAGTCCCAAAGATATGCTACCAAATAAATTATTCCAATTTTGTCATGTGCACCAGTTCCTCGAACAACAGTTAGTGGGTCTGAAATACCTTAGTTTCTGGACCAAAGTTGCTAAGCAATAAAGCCACCAAATCAACACTGCTGGATCCAGGACCTTGTGAATTTCCCGGCTATCCCCTGCTCTAGTGGGATTACTCTGCCTGGGTTTCATGATTGTTCTGTGGTGTGATGATTACTGTCCTGAGTGGTTTATTACCCCTAGCAGTTTCCAGAAAAAGTGCCAGCCCTACCAGGAAAGCACAGACACTATGACTAAGTAGAGTTCAATGAAAACTGGGAGAGTCCTACTGGAACCTTCCTGCAGACACTATCTGTGATGAGGGAACGAGTTTAACTAAAATACATTATCTGCCAATGACACAAACATGAATGCCTAGATGGAAGTCAGCAGAAAACAGCACACTGATAACACAGCTGGTGGTAGCATGTCTAGCCCAAACTAAGCCTCTGCGCTTAAACATGCAGATACACGAGAATGGCCAGATGCACACTGAGCGTTTTACTTGTCTCCACATCCGGCACAGTAACTAAAAGCAGGGAACAACTGGCTTTCAAGGAGGGGCTTCATCAGAAACAGCAGGGCCTCACGCCAATCTAACTCTGGAGGCATCCACAATCCGAATTCCAGACCAACTCTCGGCCAGGCTCACTTTCAGGGTGCCCGGTGACTCCACGATAATAATGCACAATCTGGCTACCACTATCAAGCCTTTCCAATTCTCCAAAGCATCTGAAGTCTTACTCATCGCTCACACCTCAAGTTAGAAACAAGGCCACTGACACAAAGGCCAGTCGTCCCAAGGCTCTTAAACGTATGGCTTCGCCACGGCCACTTCTTGAAAACTCCTGAACTGGGGGCTCCACGGCCCCCTCGCCTTCGGCCCTTCCTCAATCCCGCCCGGCCAGTAGGCCTGGGCCTGGGCAGCCCCTCCGACTGGAACAAAGCGAGGGGCCCCGGCGTAGGGGGCGAGAGGCGCCGGCGGGCACAGGGACGGCCGCACGGCGCACAATGAGAAACTACCAACTTCAGAGCGTAGGAACATCCTCAATTGGCAAGAAAGAGGGGCGGCGGCAGGCACGCCCAACTTCAAACTCAGGAAACCTACGGGCTGGCGGCCATCTGGGAAAAAAAAAAAAGCCCCCTTCCCAGGGAGAGAAGAAAAAAGGCGGAGGAGACGCGAGTCGCCCACCGGGCCCCGGAGGGGAGCCCTGCGCTCAGACCGGCCCCCGCCCCCGAGGCCCGCTGCCCCGCCTTCTCTCTGCCTCTGGATCGCGGCCCCAGGCCGGGCGGCCGGTTACCTTGATGCGCTCCCGGCACTGGGACGGGGTCCGTTCGTAGCCCAGCTCGGCCAGGGCCCGGGACACGCGCTCGTACATGGCTGGCCCCGGGGCCTTGCTGCCGAACACCGTGCCGGCTCCCTCCAGCTGCTGGTACCGCGCCTCCACCAGCCGCTCGTTGCCCCACACTGCGATGAGCGCGTTCGTCTCGGCCGGCGTCCACGACATGCCCCGGCAGGCGGCGGCGGCGGCTGCCGCGGCCCCGCCACCGCCGCCACCAGGGGAGAAGGAGACCGAGGACGAGGCGGCGCTGCGGCCCCCCAGCCCCAGCCCGAGACCCCCGGACGCCGCTGCCCCCGAGCCCGCCGCACTGCCCGGCCCGAGCGGGGAGGCACCCCGAGGCGTGGAAGGGTCGGACAGCGATGGGTTTCCGTCGCTCAGGCCACCAGGAGAAGCCGGGGAGAGCACCTCCATCTTCGGGATTTTTAGCGGCGAGTTGGCGGGCAGCTCCGAGCCACAGGGCGCAGCCATCTTCCAAGCGGCCGCCGCTGCACCGCCCGGAAGTGACGCGCCCGTGCATCCGGCCGCCGCGGTCTCCGGGGCTGCCCTCGGGCCTGGCTCGCCTGCGGGCGGCCGACTGCGGGCCTCTGCTGTCGTGGACGTGGCTGCCGGGCGGAGGCCCACGGCTGCCCCCGGCCTGTCTCCGCGAGGCCTCCCGCGCCGCCCAGCCCTCTCCCGGGGCGAGGGGCGAGGACGAGGGGCGCCGCAGCCCCGAGCTGAGGAGAAGGGTGGGGGCATGAGGGCGCCGGAGTGAGGAGCAGATCGCAGCCTTCCCACTTCCTCTCCAATCTCAGTCCCCGAGAGGAGGGGTGAGGCCCGCGAGGGGGCCCGGAGTTAAGGAGGAATTGACCATTTCGCTGGCGCGCGCGCCTGCCTCCCTCCGCTCTGCCCGTCTTCCCTCTCAGCCGGCCTCAGGGTGCGGAGGCTGACGTCCGGGGTGGCGACTGCGGAGCCCGGAGGGGTGCATCCTCGAAGGCGCCCCGGCGGCAGGGAGCGCAGTTCTGGGGTAGGCTTTCCACAGCAGATCGGGACCCGAGGAACGGTTTATATGCCGCCGTAGCTTCTCCAAGCCCGTTACTTGAAGAAGAGCAACTCCTTGTGGGTTCCAGTTAGGATGTGTTGTTTTTCCGGTTAGTCCGGGTAGGTGTGACCGGTTGTGGAACTGGATGCGTTTGTCCACACGTAGGAACTGAGCCCAGAGGAAAAGTTCCTTGTCAATACCTTTCTCCCGCCTCCCTGACTCAGAAGTTGCGTAGTTTTCCTGGTGTTTCATGCTCTCAAGTACAAGGAGGTTAAAAAGATTAAAGAGATGACAGCTCTTGTGGCCCCAGGTTATAAATTGTGTATTAGTCACTCCTGAAGTGCTGGAACTTCCTAAACAGTAGCACACCAAGTCCATTACACAGCCGCAAGGTATTTCCATATTCAAAGCCGAAAATCCTAATTGTTTGTCTTGGGTCATTAAGTAAAACCTCATTGAATTTTTTTTTTATCAAAGCAGACTTCTAATTGAAGAGGTTGTCCAATGGATATGAATAAATTACGGAAAATTAAAAAAAAAAAAAGTTTGAAAAAAAAGATCAGCCGCATTGTTAACTCTGGAAGTTAGAGGAGAGACTGATGCTGTCTTTGAATGGCCAAAGGATTAAGCAGTAGGGGTGAAGTAGAGGAGATAATTGTCTGTGTACCTCTATTTAAAATACCACCATAGCCACCGCCTGCAGTGCCGGCATCGCATGTGGGCGCCGGTCCAGGTCCTGGCTGCTCCACTTCCGATCCAGCTCCCTGCGATGGCCTGGGAGGGCAGTGGAGGATGGCCCAAGTCCTTGGGCCCCTGCACCTATGTGGGAGACATGGGAGAAGCTCCTGGCTCTTGGCTTCAGATTGGCCCAGCTCTGGCCATAGCAGCCATTTGGGGAGTGAACCATGGGTGAAAGACCTCTCTTTCTCTCTGCCGCTGCAGCTGTTTCTGCCTCTACGTGGCTCTGCCTTTCAAATAAATAAATAAATCTTTTTTAAAAACGTTATTTCTCCTCAGGAATGATACGTACTTTTTTCTGACTCCTCGGCAGAAGCCGAGAGCCATCCAGCTCCAATGCCTGAGTTTTATGTGTCCAGCCATGGAACCTGGTCTGTGTACATTTGCGTAGATACGGATCAAAGGGCTCTCAGCAAAATGGATGAAGTTGCTGGGATGCTCAGAACACAATACCTCACTGTGGCGTAGGAGGTAAAGCTGCTGCCTGCGGTGCCAGCACCATATATGGATGCTGCTGCAAGACCTAACTGCTCCACTCCCAATCTGGCTCCCAGGCAATGCTGCTAAGAAAGCAACAGAAGATGACCCAAGTGCTTGGGCCCCTGAACCCACACGGGAGACCTGGAAGAAGCTCCTGGCTCCTAGCTTCAAATAGGCCCAGCTCTAGCTGTTGTAGCCATTTGGGAAGAGAACCAGTAGATGGAAGATTTATCTGTTTCTCCCTCTCTTCCTCTGTAACTCTGCCTTTCAAATAAATAAATCTTTTAAAAAAAAAAAAAAGAAAAAAAATACCACCATAGTTCCTAAGTTAACAATGCTATGCAGAAACCCAAGAAGTGCCTTGTTTTCTAAGAGAAAGATACAGTCTAGCATGTTGGTTAAAACACAGATTCCAGAGTCAGAATGCCTGGCTTCAAATTCGGGTTTGGCCGCCTCAGCTAAGTTGCTCCCCCAATTTCCCTGTGCCTTTGTTTCTTCAACTGTAAAATAAAGGTGACCTCACAGCATTGTTGAGAGCACAAAATGATGTAATGCAGGTGAAATCCTTACAATGGTGGTGGGTAAGCAGTAAACACTGTAAAGTCTGCTGCATCTCAATCACCTGTCACCTCAGAATTCAGGTCCCTTCAGCCATGCATAAAACAGAGGGCTCTATTTTAGTTATATACTAACTCAGAGATTCCAAAGAGTTCTAAATCACTAAGTTCTCCTGCTCTCCTTGTCCCACAATCCTGAAAAAAAAAAATCCTCCCTTCTGTTGCCTAATTCTGATGATTCTCAGGTCAAATTTGACTATGCAGGAGGCCTTCCTAGATAAGTGGGTTGACAGAAGTCTCCCTTCCCACAAACTTCTGTTTCTAGGCATTATTTCTGCATTGCCCCTCCCCATTTCCATACCCATCATTCTACTTAGAAAAAAAAATTGTACCAAAACAAAAATTTCCAGTAACAGTCTAACATCAAAACTAAGCCAATAATTGTAAAAGCTATTAATACATATTCTGTAGTATACAGACACTGCTATATAGCTAACAAGGACCATGAGTTTGTTGTGCTGCCTTGCCATGGCTGATCTTCAATTGTAGGGGATGTGTCAAGTACATATTCAAGAACATTATAGTTTAGGGGCCAGCGTTGTGGCACAGGAGGTTAAAGCCACCGTGTGCAATGCTGGCATCTGAGCTGGTCCAGCCCCAGCCATTGTGGCCATTTGGGGAGTGAATCAGCAGATGGAAGTTCTCTGTCTCTCTCCCTCTTTCTGCAATTCTTCCATTCAAAGAAATAAAATATAATCTTATTTTTAAAATATTTATTTATTTACGTATTTGAAAGAGTTACAGAGGGGGAGAGAGTGATGTCCCATCCACACCACAATGGCCAGAGCTGAGCTAAGCTGAAGCTGGGGTCCAGGAGTTTCATGTGGGTCTCCCACATGGGCAGCAGTGACCCAAACACTCCAAACATCCTCTGCTGCTTTTCCCAGGTCATTAGCAGGAAGCTGGATCAGAAGTGGAGCAGCTGGGACATGAACTTGTGGCGATATGGCCATATGGGATGCCTGCATCACAGGCAGAGACTTTACCCGCTGTGCTATAATGCCAGCCCCTAAATAAAACTTTTTTTTTTAAAGGTTTATGTGCTTGTAAGGCAGAGTTACAGAGAGAGGGTGAGACAGATAGAGATCTTCCATCTGCTGGTTCACTCCCCAAATAGCTGTAACAGCTGGAGCTAGGCCAGGCTAAAGTCAGGAACCAGGAGATTCTTCCAGGTCTTCCGCGTGGGTAGCAGGGACTCAAGCACTTGGGTCACCTTTGACTGCCTTTTTCCAGGTGTATTAGCAGGGAGCTGGATCAGAAGTGGAACAGCTGGGACTCGAAATGGAACCCATATGAGACTTTGGCATTGGAGGTGTCGGCTTAACCTGCTATGCCACAACACCACCCTCCTAAATAAAATCTTCAAAAAAAAAATCCTATTTCAGCCAGAATTTAGGGATCCCCACTGTGTTTGAAGTAATTATTCCAACTTTAACTGTTTATCCAAATGATAATCATAAGTAGATAAAAACCTGTTTTAGAGGTAATGTATGAAATGTCTCAAACTAAGGTGCAAAGAGTATAACATAATACAATTAATCTTACAAAACCTGTCAACTGTTATAAATAAGAGTGTCAATTGTTACATCAATAACAGGAGTCACTGTGCACTTGCTCTCCATGTAGGACCTCTGTCTTTAATGAGTTGTACTATGAGAATTAACAGTCAAACTTGTCTTCAAACAGTACTTTATAATTCATGTGTCTTTGTGGGTGCATATCACTTAGTATAGAGTTGGTCTTCTGTATATAAAGATAATTAAAAATGAATCTTAATGAAGAATGGGATGGGAGAGGGAGTAAAAGGTGGGATAGCTTGGGGGTTGGAGGGCGGATATGGGGGGAAGAACCGCTATATTCCTAAAGCTGTATCTATGAAATTTATATTTATTAAAGAAAAGCTTTCAAAAAAACCCTGTCAACCATCAACTACTCCCTTTATGTATATCTCGTCATCCCCTCATTCATTTCCCAAAATCTGTGACAAGTGTTCATTCTCCAGGCTTTTCTATAAAGATTCCCTGAAGCAGATGAACACAGTTCTCCATCTAATACACACTCACACAACATAGCACTTCACGGTAATGTTTTCTGTCACGAAAGCTTCATTAATTCTGTGTATACTTTATCACTGTGTTTATTTGCTTTGTATCTTTTTCTCACATTCCACACTGAAATAGTTCCTCAGTTTTCCCACGCTGAACACTGGCCTAAGCCTCCATCTTGCTTCATAGCTAGACTTCCTGCTTGTCTATGCAGGAACAAATGTGGACTTCATTTTTTTTTTTTTTTTGACAGAGTGGACAGTGAGAGAGAGAGAGACAGAGAGAAAGGTCTTCCTTTGCCGTTGGTTCACTCCCCAATGGCCGCTGTGGCCGGCGCACTGCGGCCGGCACCCCGCACTGATCTGAAGCCAGGAGCCAGGTGCTTCTCCTGGTCTCCCATGGGGTGCAGGGCCCAAGGACCTGGGCCATCCTTCACTGCCCTCCTGGGCCACAGCAGAGAGCTGGCCGCCTGGAAGAAGAGCAACTGGGACTGCATCCTGTGCCCCGACTGGAACTAGAACCTGGTGTGCTGGTGCCGCAGGCCGAGGATTAGCCTATTGAGCCGCGGCGCCGACTAGACTTCATTTTCTAAAAACATTTCTTCTTTCGAAACATAAATGCATATAGAGAAGTACATGAAGCATACATAGTATGATATTGTATAGTTTATTATCAAGCAAATACCGTGTAACTGCCATCCAGACCAAGAAATATAATATAGGGACTGGTGCTGTGGCACAGTGGATAAAGCCACTGCCAGCAATGTCGGCATCCCATATGGACCTGGCTGCTCCTCTTCCGATCCAGCTCTCTGCTATGGCCTGGGAAAGCAGTAGAAGATGGCCCAAGTGCTTGAGCCCCTGAACTCGTGTGGGAGACCTGGAAGAAGCTCCTAACTCCTGGCTTTGGATAGGTCCAGCTCCAGCCATTGCAGCCATTTGGGGAGTGAACTAGCAGATGGAGGACTTTCCCTCTCTCTTTCTCTCTCTCTCTTTCTCTCTCTCTCCTCTATGCCTCTCTGTAATTTTGCCTTTCAAATAAATGAATAATTCTTTTTAAAAAATAGAATGTGGTCAAAACTCTATAAACTGGCCCCTTAATATAACTCCCATCTCACTTGTAAAGATAACCACTGTCTGCTGGAGCCGTGGCTCACTAGGCTAATCCTCCACCTGTGGTGCCGGCACACCAGGTTCTAGTCCCGGTTGGGGCGCCGGATTCTGTCCCGGTTGCTCCTCTTCCAGGCCAGCTCTCTGCTGTAGCCCGGGAGTGCAGTGGAGGATGGCCCAAGTGCTTGGACCCTGCACCCGCATGGGAG